GAAGTGTTCCCATGGTCCCTTATATTCTTCATAGCCATTGTTTCTTATGGCACATATATATTCCATTCCATTGATATGCCACAATGTGTTTAGCCATTCCCTAATTAATGGACGTCTATTTTGTTTCTAGTTCTTTGCCACCGTAGAAAGGGCTTTATATTTTGGTGACTATGGGAATTATTTTTTATAATTGCCCTTCTTTGGGGTAAATATCTAGCAGTGTGTACTCTATCTTTCTTCCTTCTTCCTCTGTGGGTAAATATGAGGAGCCTTTTGATTCATACTCCTTTCTGCCTCGAGGTGGTAATGTGAGAGGTCTCACCATCATGGTAAATTCATTTCAATCTCTCTTCACTCTTTGACACTGGGTGAATACCCTCTACTGAGCTAAGACTATCTAATGTCAGTTTCCTCTGAATTATTAAAAAGATGAATCGAGGCTAAACTCAAATTCTTCACTACTCAATTATTGATCAGAGCATGCTTATTTGGTTATGAGATACAGTGAGGAGGTATATAGGGCACAAGGCAGAGATGGACTTGTGATTTATAATTGCCGCTTTTGTTACTTGTTATCCACCGGTCAATTTCTAGTTATCGGCTCTGGAATTAGGTAAATTTTAATTGGAGAACTGTGAGGTTCTATAGAGTACCAAAAGAATTTTTATCCCTGGGTATGATGGTAAATGTTTAACAAATGGCTCTCTTAAAAAAAAGTACACCTGACAAACTTTTAATAATCTGCATTATTAACATTTTATCCATCACTTTCTTAAGAGTAGTAGTAGCAGTTCAGTCATTTTTCAGTTGTGTCTGACCCTTTATGACCCCATTTGGAGCTTTGTTGGCAAAGAGACTGGAATGTTTGCCATTTCTCTTTCCAGCTCCTTTTGCAGATGAGGAGACTGAGGCAAACAGGGTTAAGTGACTTGTCCAGGGTCACACAGCTAGTATGTTTCTGAGACTGAATTTGAACTTAAGTCTTTCTGACTCCAGGCCCAGCTCTGAGCCACCCAGCTGCCCAGGTTGGTACCTCTCCAGTTATTTGGTATAACTGGAATATCTCTCTGTATAGTGTGTACACTCTGTATACACATGTATATCATGTGTATGTTTGACAAGAGAGTATAGGGTCATAGAATTTAAGTTTGGAAAGGACCTTAGAGATCATCTAGTTTCATTCTTCACTTTATGAAGGATAAAATAGATCCAAAGAGAGTGACTTGTCCAATATTGTCTCAGTGTCTCAGTTTTCTCATTTGCAAAATGGAGATGATAATAAGGGTAGCTAGGTGGCATAGTAGATAGAGATCTGTGCTTAGAGTTGGGACGATCTGAGTTCAAACCCAAGTCTCAGACACTTATTTACTGTGTGACCCTGGGTAAGACACTTTACCATTGTCTGCCTCAGTTTCTTCAACCTTAAAAGGGGGACAATAATGGTACCTACCTGGTACGGTTGTACCAAATAAGATAATATTTGCAAAAAGTGCTTAGTACAGTGCCTGGCATATAGGAGGCAACATAAAAACACTTATTTCCTCCCCCCATCCCCCCTAATAGTAATGCCTACCTCCCAAGGTTGTTTGTGAAGATACAATGAAATAATATTTATCAATCACTTTGTAAATCTTAAAGTTGACTTGAATTCTATTCTTGTTGTTGTTATTGTCACATAGCTATTGTGTGTTAGTTACTCAGGATTTTGTTTATACACTTAACTTGTTTTTGACCTGTTTTCAGCACTTGATACTGAACTTCCTACTGACTTCTTCTACACTTCCTCACATACTGTAATACAGTAGACATATTGACCTGTGTGCGATCCCTCTTACATGATGCTATACTTCCCATCTTCCTGACCTGTGCTGATGGCTTCCTATGCTTAGGATGCTCTGTTTCCTCACTGCTGCCTCCTGGAATCTCTAATTTCCTTTGAAACTCAATTAAAGTGCCACCCTCCACATGAAGCCTTTCTAATTTTCTCCCATCCTTTCTTCCTTATATTATATAAATATATAAATACATATATGCACACATAGATGCATATATCTGTATATGTATTCTGTTTGTAATGTATGTCTCCATCTATATATACTTACATGTATATGCATGTATATTGTCCTCTCCCCTCTCTCCTTGAGAGCAGGAATTGTTTAACTTTTGTATTTTTGATTCCCACAACTTAGCTAGTGCCTGGCACATTTGTTATTCAGCTGTTTCAGTTATGTCCAACTCTCTGTGACCCCATTTTGAGGTTTTCTTGGCAAAGATACTGGAGCGTTTAGCCATTTCCCCTCTCCAGCTTGTTTCACAGATAAAGAAACTGAGGCAAACAAGGTTAAGTGACTTGCTTAGCTAGTAAGTGTCTGGTGGGACAGATTTGAACTTAGGGAGATGAGTTTTCCTGACTCCAGGCCCAGCTCTCTATTTATGGTGCCACCTAGCTGCCCAAAATGCACCTACTTATTTGTATATATGTGTGTGGTAAAATGAATGAATTGCTGAGCCTGGAGTCATGTAGACATAGGTTCAAATTCTATGTCTAAGCACTTACTAGCTGTGGGTTCCAAGCCTCCTAATCTCTATGTGCCTCAGAACTCCCTAGATTTATCTGCTAATTCATAAATAGTTATAATTTGCATTGGTTATTCCAATCCAGGAGTTCCCAATGCCAATAAGATCTCAGGCCTTTCATGTACTTGCACACATATGTTTATATAGTATATAATACCATTATTATTATTTGCAAAAGTCAATATTCTATTGCGTTGTTGTGACCTGGACCCAGTAGCCATACCAGCAAAACATAAGCTCTGGACACTATCTGCCATTGTCATCATCATAGGTTTATGACACAAAAGAATTATGTAATCATTTGGCTTTGCTGAATTTGAATAAGAAGAGTCTAAATTAAAAATTAAACAATTTTTAAATTCTTGCATTAGTCATTTTAGTAAGGTCAATTTAATAAACTTGTTTCCAATGAAATTGGAAACTTAAAAATTTTGAGAAGTTATAAATAACCATTAAAATTTTCAATGATCAAATTTAAATTACTTTTCTTAATTTTTTTTATTAATTCACATTTCAAAAAGCAAAATAATATCCCTTTATGATGGGTAAACACAAATTATTTGAAGATAAAATCCACTGACATATCTGAAATAACTATAAGTAGAGACAATGGGAACAATTATAGTGGTGGAAATACAGAAACACAAACTAGAAAGGCCAAATCCAGAAAATATGATCTACTATCACTGAGATTCACAAGCACTATTATTGATGGAGAGGAAAAACTTCCATATACCTTGTATGATTACATTAGCCACAAATAGCATCAGAATGAAGGAATTGAAATGGTATCTTGAAACTGCATTTGCAGAATACATGTAAGACAAGATAACCTTTCCTGAGAAAATTAAATGCTTTTAGGAAGCAAAAACAAACTTAGAAAAAAAGTCTTAAAAAAAGGACTGCTTGCACTGTATAAGAGTACATAAAAGAATTTCTAACTGTAATATGCCTTGTTCACTAGAAGAAATAGCAGTGCTTTCTGCAGCTATTGATATAGTAGAAATGATGATTGGTGAATCATATGTAAAATAATTTTGAAAGGTTCTACTTTCAGATAATATTCAGGAAAACAGAATTACCCAAATGTTTGAAGATCTTCGCCATCAATAAATTGAGAAACACAAAATTTCCTAGTTTGTGTTGAAAGTAGATGAAACAACAGGTATAGTTAAAGATGCTTATCTGACATGTTGAAGCTGTTATTGGATAAGATTTGTTATGTTGGAAAGCTATGGAAGATAATGCCATGTCAAGAAAAAATTCTAGGTAATTGATGGGTTTTGAAAATAAAAATGCTGTAATGTGAGATTAAATTGACAGAGTTCAGTCAATGTCAGGGTGAAAAGCAGATCCACAAGCAGTAGTTAAAAATATGGTCCCTCATGTAATTTTGCCATATTCCATGTTTTAAAATTGCTTATGTTGAGAAATATAAAAGAGTAGTTATAGATAATTTTAAGTTAAAATTTGATAGTAAGAAGTAATTAACTTTATAAAACAGTCAATTAAAAGGAAGGCTCTTTGCAAACTTGTGTGATGTTATGGGAGAGGAGCACAGGGAACTTTTTCTTTTTTTGCTTTTTTATTTTAAAAATTTTTTGTTTTGCCTTATTGCAAAACACACATACTTCCTTATATCAAAGTACTCTGAAGGATGTTTGAACTAAAAGCATAAATTGCAATTTCCTTAATGTAAAAATGAAGATGAAGCAAATTCATTTCATAAAATTTTCCTCTTAAAACCTTAGTTGAGATTCTTAGGACACTTCTGTGAATATTTTTGAAATGAGTGCTCTAAGTAGGTCAACACAAGATCTTTAAATGCTAATTTAGAAAAATAAAGTGACTCCATTTTTTAAAAAGTTAAGAGGTATTGATAACAAATTTACAAAATAATATGTTTGATGTGTTTCTCAATTAAAAAAACTTGCCATGCTAAAAAAAAGAAATCCTAATTTCATGTTAAAGACCTAGAAATGTCTAAATATGACTAGATGACAAACCAATATGTCAAACATTACTTCATCCAAAGAAGAGTAATTAACAGATTTGTCATGTAAATGTATGATGATATAATTGTTAAAAGCTGAACTTTTTATTATATATGATCAGAGTTGAATAAAGAAACTTGTTTTTTAAAATGAATACAAATTTATAATTCATAACACTATTTGTGTAAAATAGATTTTTTTTAAGCTATAGCTACCATAAAGACAAAAATACTGATTTTACTTGGTGGTTCAAAGTTATGAATGTCAATATCCTCAATGACACCATGTTTTGAGAAATTTTTCATCAAAAAAAGCTCACCCATCTTATTCATATTATTGTTATGCTTATTTTAATAGGTTCTAAAGATGAATTATAAAATGTTTGATCAATTAATACATATCTATGAATGTTATTTTTGTTGTATGTTTAAATTTTGTGTTAAAAATTGTAATAAAGTTTAAACTTTATTTAAATAAAATTTGAGCTGAGCAAATTATTTGATAGGGTTTTTTCGTGAAAAGTGTGAGAGGTGTGACAATTTTGAGAAAATGGAGCCATAAGGATATAAAGTTTGGAAATCTCTACCATGTGATTACATTAGTTCTTCCTATATTAGGTTAGGGACTATCTTAATAATTTTGTAACTCTCAGGGTGCAGGCAGTGTCATACATATGCTTTGGTCACTGGCCTAATCAATATTACAGCATGGACATTGCACGAAAGTAGATTAGATTAATTTTGGTTCATCTATACAAGAATAAGGATCAATGAAGATTAATAAGGAGATGCCTGTTAAAATTATGGCAGAAAGGTTTAATCCTACATTAATGCCTGCAATAATATACACATCAAAGCTATCTATATAAAACAAACAAAGTCTGTCTACAGGACAAGGAGTGCCACAGAAAGTCAGAGGCTACGTATTACATAAAGAGTTTTGGGTGCAGCCAGGATGGTCATCAATAAATATGTGATTCATATAGCAGATTGGATCACAAATATCCAACCACAAGGCCCAAAATTTGGTGGGATAACCAATGATTGGTCTATTTGGACAAAGACAGAAAGGGTGATCAGGGGACTCATGATGATGCTATTTAGTGAACCTATGCTCTTTACTATGATGAAAAAAGATCCATTTATGAATTTTTAATGTATATTCCCAGTGCTGAGACACTAGGCCAAGCATGATGCCATAAACAAAGTAGGCATTCAAAAATATGAGTTCTTTTAACCGAAGAAAGATTTTACTATGAAATTATGAGGTATACATTAAAATGACTTTTGGGAGTCCCTGGGGAATGGCTAATTTCTAATAAACAGGCATAACTTTTAGAGCAAATATATAGCTATGTTAAATATGTCACAATTAATTTTAGAAATGAAAATTAGAACTAGGCTTGTTTCCAAATTTATACTTCCAGCTCTGGACTACCACTTCCCGTATTACATATAGAAAGGGTATAAGGCACATTAGGTCACAAGCACAGAACTCAAAGTTGTGATCTTCTCAGGTCAAAGTCGTAGTTTTCATTTTGTGCAGTTTTGGCTCCTGACCCCAGATGATCCCTTGCTTGTTTAGCATGGGTGTAAAAAAGTTGCAGGTAACCCCATACTGCTCTATTTTTAGCTCCACAAATGTAGTTCATTTGTTTTGTGCAAAATCTAATTTTAGGACCTCAGACTTTTTATCTGGACAAGTCTGACAGGGGGTTGATAATACCGGGAGATTCAAGTCTGTCACTTTTTGAGGAGTCTTGTGTTCTGCCATGTTTCTACTACTCTTATTGTGTTTAAAAAGTATTCTCGGCTTCTCCTTATATTGCCTCAAATTTCTTCTCAGGAACATCTGCTGCTGAGACGTGGGGACCACAGGAGGTCTGGAACTGTTGACCAGAAGTAGAGGGGATGCACTTGACACTTGCTGAGATATTTTCATCCAAGAAGTTTTCTTTGAAAGACCCGTTTTCAAGGGTATGTGTCTAAGCCTAGGTAAAGGGGAAAGCTGTGGAGATGTATTCATTGATGAGTTAGCACTCCCCTTTTCTTGGGGCTGCCATGTTGGGTGTGGAATATTTTCATCCTTGGGTCTCAGGAGGTCTTTAAGTCTTGTGTCTTGAGGAAGTATGGGGCTCCACCCCTCACCCTTGCCTATACAGGATGCTGCTGATAAATGAGACTGCGGTTTTGGTAATTTTGTGGAGTGAATCTCCAACTCCAGAGGTGGCACTTCAAAAACATATGGTATCCTGGCTTTAGGTGAGCCTCTGGGACCATCAATATTCAGGGGGAAATCCAAATATGGCTGATTTCTTGGCTCATCTGAACCTCTTCTATTTGCAGATGTAGGGGGTTCAAGATCATTCTGGTCTCTTTCTGAAAAAGTAGAAACTAAGAAGAATAGAGAATAAATGTGACGAGATGATGATTGGTTACATAGTTATACAAAGGATATTTAACAAAAGATACTTGCCCAAAGAATAGAGATGGATAACTAGGTATGCCTAATTCCATAATGTACAAAATGGAGAGTTGAGCCCGCAGTCCAGATAATTAGAGAAAATGAAAATTCCTGCTTAAATGATCAGGATAGGTAGATGAAACAGATATTGTTATTACTGGTTTTGGCCTAAATTATTTCATTCATTAACTCAGTTCTCCACTTCACATTATAAGGATGGCAGACATATCTTAGCATTTAGTTGTCTAAAACATCAATACTTTTAGGATTTATGATTTCAACAGTGGCTTCTTCCTCCAACAAAAGAAAAGCATCTGATGAATTATGGAATAAAACTTGTAAGCTCAAATGTACTGAAATGCCCATGATATGCATGCAAATTGCACTGTTAATCTTCAAACTTTTTCCCCTTTTCTCCATTTTGTTTCAACTTTCTTTTTCTAAACTTTCTTTTCTAAGTTTTCTTTTTCTAAAATTAACTATAGGAGTAAAAAGGAAACTGTATTTTAAAAAAGATAAAATGTCACCAGTTAAAAGAAGACAATTCCTCTTACACTAAATTCTGGGTTGACAAAACATTTAGTAATAATAGTTCATATTCATATAGTGCCTTAGGTCATAAGCATCATTTTCCATTGTTTGTTGATTATAGACCATCCCCCATCTCTCACCCCAAATGAATTGTTAAAACTCGCAATAGAGAGAACCAGCAAAGTCTTACATTCTATTGGAATATAGATTCATTGAAGACAGTAACTTTTCCCTCTTTTCTTTGAGTATGCTCAATTATCTAGCACAGTGACTTCATTGGGACAGGGAACTCACAATAAGGACATTTTCTCTACCATTGCAGGTTAAGAACTATGAGGCAATGTATGGTCCTAAAGAGTTTCATGAGACACTGAGGGTCTTGCCTAGATCATATTATTAGTATGTATCAGAGGCAGGATTTGAGGTCAATAAGTGCTATCTGTGCTCTGAAGGTCAGCCTACCTAGGTGCAGAGAACTTTCCATCTATAGGACAGCCACTTGGTGCAGAATTCTTTGGCTATAGGAACCCATGAAATCAATTTCTGAAATTGAAATAAATTTGCTTTTGACCAACCCCCTTCGATCGGTGCAGTGATGTCAGCAGCCTTGCAGAAAGGAGAGAAGAGGGTGCCAAGAACCACACAGGATTTGAATTTAGGTATTCCTGACTCCAAAGTCTGCTTTCTAGCCTCCATTTGAGGAATATACATTTATCTTTATTTATCTTTATTAAATTTTGTCTACAACTTTTTTTTTGGAGGTGATCAGAATTAAGTGACTTACCCAAGGGTCACATAGCTAGTAAGTGTGTGGGGTCGAATTTGAACTCAGGTCCTCCTGATGCACTAGCACTCTCCTTTTTTCATGGTTGCCATGTTGGGTTTGCAATATTTCATCCTTGAGTTTCAGGAGATTTTTAAGTCTTGTTTCTTGAGGAAGTATGGGGCTCCACCCATCACTGACTCCAGGGCCAGTGCTCTATCCATTGCGCCACCTAGCTGCCCCTATCTACAACTTTAACTCCAGAGTCTGTGGTACCTCATGACTCACAATAACACAGAATAACAAAAGAATATTGATGTTAAAAGAATGGGTTTTTATTTAAGGAAGAAACTTGGGGTCATTTCAAGCATCTCACAATTTCTTAGATTCATTCCAGCTTACTCTTTTCCTCGTATTTAAATTTTCACCCATGTTTACTCTCTGCAGGTGCTATACAAGATGTATATACTGAAAGATCAACCATATGGGTTATCCATCTAATTGCATATCACTATTCGGACAGTAAACATTCTTTATCCATTTGATTTTGCCCTCTGTGGGTAGTTTGGTTGAATTCTTCTGAGTGATATAAGATGTGATTAGAATGATTGGTGAATTTCCATTAGAAACTGCTGTGGCAGTCTGAGCTTATACAAGTACTCTAATAGCAACTGGAAATAGAAGAATGTAAAGATGTTACTATTTTTGGGGGATCCCTCTTCCTTTCGGACTTTTCATTAAATATCTTCCATGACAGTGGCTGACGCCTTTAACAAGGTTATACCATCCTATTTTATGCATCATTTTATATGATAATCAGAAGGATATCAAAATTCTCTATTATTCTATCTTAATCTTATATGATTTAGCACATGCATAGGAATTAGCTTGTTGGAGAAAAATAATTAAGGCAGCATTTCTGTTCTATTGAATCAAGTGTTGTCTTTATTTGTCAACATACAATAAGCACAGTGGGATTTTGAATTCACTCTACCTTTGCATCAATTGTATGGGGCAGCTAGGTAACTCAGTGGATAGAATGCAGGGCCTGGGATCAGGAAGACTCATCTTCCTGAGTTCAAATCTGGCGACCCTGGGCAAATCACTTAACTCTGTTTGTCTCAGTTTCCTACATCTGTAAAATAAGCTGGAGAAGGAAATGGCAATATCTCTGCCAAGAAAACCCCAAATGGGGTCATGAAGTGTTGGACATGACTGAATAACAACCACAAAAGAATGTAAAGCTATTGTCTGCCAGTTTATAGGAAGATCAGTGTACCAGCTTTATATTTTGCAGCTATTTCCTTTTGTCTTCTGGTTTAATTTCTATTAAGAATGTCTAGATTGCTATGATTCAGTTCCTCCAGTCACATGTCCACTCATGAGTCACCAGACAAGGATCACACATACTTAGAATATGAACAGGTAAGCTAATGTTTATAGATGGTTTAAAAACTGTGTGATTGTTGGTACCTTCTTTTCCCCTTTCTGCAAGAGTGCTGCCATCATTGCACCAATCAAAGGGGATTGCTCAAAAGCAAATTGATTTCAATTTCAAAAATTGACGTCATGGGTTCCTATGGCCAAGGAATTCGGCACTAAGTGGGTGTCCTATGGATGGAAAGCTGTCTGCACTTAGGTTGGCTGGCCTTCAGAGCACAGATAACACTTATTGACCTCAAATCCTTTCCAAAACATGATAGAAATGAGATAGAAATGTGTTTTGCTGATGTAGCTACCCTTCAAGAACCAAGAGTCACCCTCATGCTGCGATGAAGTATCAGGGCAGTATTTACAAATAGCTAAAGTAGGATACAAACACTGTGAAAGTTTGATCCAAGGTTCTCAAAAGATGATGATAATGATGGGTTAGCAAGCCCTTGCAGGGCCTACCAAGTTGGAAATTCATCAAGTACAAGACCAGTGATAAGACTGATCTTTGAGGAAAAGTCACGTTAAGTCTAAAGATGTTTATCAGCAGAGGGTTGGCCATATTTTTTTGATTATACTGCAGTGTTATTGGAGATAGAGCCAAGAAGCAGTCAAGGCTTCTGGGAGACAGAGCTATGAGGACATGGACAGGAAAAAATTTCCAATTGTGATATAAGACAGCTGAAACTGAGGCTAAACCTTAGCTTGCTAGGGAAATTAGTCCAAACCCTTCCCTCACTGATATGCAAGATTACTTAGTTGTATGCAGAGAGTAAAAATAATTCTACTTCTTGACTTTCTCTGGTATTTACTTTGCTATTCAATCCCAGTTAATACTTTCACCTTATATCTATAGCTCTTGCCTGGTCTATGAACAGAACAGGCATTACATTGGGACTCAAGTCAAATGTTAGACCCTATATTGAATATAGATACTTGAGAGAACTTCAGAGTGAGCAGCATATGATTTGTGTTCCATTTGATGAAAGCAAGTCATGAAAATCATTCATTCACTAGGGCAGGGGTTAACACAACTATTGCAGTCCAATTCCTGCCCACTATCTAATCTTGTATGGCCAGTGACCTAAGTAAGAATGGAGTTTCTATTTTTAGATAAAATAAAGCCTTATTTAAAAATGTAAAAAACATTCTCAGCTTGAGGGCTGTACAGAAAACAGTCAGAGGGCTGAATTTAGCCTGCAGGCAATAGTTTGCCCACTCCGCACACTAGGGCACAGAGAGTGGTTGTCTGTGATCTGTGTTTGTGGAAGGAGGAGCACAGATCTGTGAAGTCACAGATCTTTGATGTACTGAAGTCATAGAGCATAAGTGGGAATAAATGGCCTGTCCTAGTTCATGTAGACAATTCAACAAACAAGCCTTGGTAGCAAAACAAGACAAAACAAAATCCCTCAAAAACCAAAATGGACTAGGGACTTTCTGGTTCCTGGGTTAGGCAACAAAGCCTTCTGGCCACACTAATACAAAACAGGGCAGCAGATGCATGTCTCACCACAATACCTGCCAGAAAATTTTCTTGGTTTTCCAAAGTTATAGCAATTTCATCTTCCTGAATGATGTCTAGCACTGTTGGGTGTTGTGTGGAGAGAAAAGTCTTGTCATCACCTTTTTTGAAGGCTCCAAGCGTGGCTGCTTTGGTCTCTTGCAGACCCTGAGTTTCTCCTTCTGGATTTGGATTTATGGTTTTGGGAAATTTGTTATCATGTTTTGAGGGCATGTGGTTTTTCTGAAAATGTTAAGGAAATCCTTTAAGATATCACTAAAATGATGATTTAGCAGTAAACAACAATTCAAAAAGTTAGTTCCAACCCGTGTTTCTTAACTTACCATTAAAATAAGCAGTGGCTATGATTATTTTTTTAAGACCACCAACTTGGTCAAATTTTGTGAAACTTCATTTCAAATTTACATTACTTATTTTAAAAAAACCTTATAAAAAGAGAGATTTAATATCAGAAAACCTCAGTTTGAATTTGGCTCTGCCACTTTTAAGCGGTGTGAACTTGGAGACAGATAACTTACTTGTGCCTCAATTTCCTTTCCTGTAAAATAAAGTTAATAGTATTGGTCCTCGTCAGGGTTGTAGTGAAGATAAAATGTACGTAAAATACTCTCTTCTTACATTATTGTTTCCTGTTTGACATGACATATTTCGTGTGCTTCTGATAGTCATATAACTAAAATTACATTTTAGACACATACACACAGATAAAGTGTTGACTTTATTCCTTTAATCTGAACATCTTTTGGGAATTTGAGAGGTCATAAACATTTAGGCAAAGCAGTCAAATAGTCTTTCAATATTTTACACACTACTAGTTATAAAAACATTTTCATTAATATTTTTGCAAACTATTACTATACATGGCATATCAGAAAACTCATTCTTACTGGTTTCATTACCAGATTGCTTAAGAGCTAATTGATAAAGCACATGAGCAAGAAAGTTTTTGAGCAGAAACTGTGCTTTCTTCAGCATCTAAGCATGACATTTTTGATAGCTAATTGTAATTGGGTATTCTGCACTACAGAACAGGCAGCTAGGTGGCGCAGCAGATAGAGCCCTGGGCTTAGAATCAGGAAGACACATCTTCGTAAGTTCAAATCCAGCCTCAGACATTTACTAGCTGTGTGACACTGGGCAAGTCACTTGACTCTGTTTGCCTCAGTTTCCTCATCTGTAAAAATGAACTGGAGAAGGAAATGGCAAACCTCTCCAGTATCTTTGCCAAGAAAACCCCAAATAGAGTCATGAAGAGCTGGACACAACTGAAAAGGACTGAACAACATCTTTCTGACTGTAGGCCCACTGCTCTATGCACTATGCTACCTTGCTGGATAAAATGAGATAATATGTATAAAGAGTTCAGCAAATCCTAAAGCACTATGAATGTTAGCTATTCTTTTTATTACATTTTGAACAGGGAAATTTTAATCATGTCATACTCAGCTTTTCAAAGGGGGTAAATTTCTCAGAGGATATAGTGTTTGCATATGTACAGTTTTAAAACATTTTAATTATTCCTATTTATTTTCTTCTACAGTATATATGTATTATATATGCATAATGGACACATGTCTACATCTACATCTACCTATTCATCTATCTTATCTATCTACCCACATACACTCAAGTTATACTGTTACCTTTACAAAATTTTCCCTATTAAAAAGTAAAGAAAGCTGGGGCAGCTATGGGGTGCAGTGGATAGAGCCCTGGCCCTGGAGTCAGGAGGACATAAGTTCAAATCTAGTCTCAGACAAGACACTTGACACTTACTAGCTGTGTCAGCCTAGGCAAGTCACTTAATCCCAATTGCCTGGCCAAAAAAAAAAAAAAAAGAAGTAAAGAAAGCCTAGATCAGGTGTGGGGAAACTATGGCCCTCTAGGTCCTCAAGTGTGGCCCTTTGACTGAAGCCAAACTTCACAGAACAAATCTCCTTAGATTATATATTTTTCTTACATAGAAAAGATGAAAAAAAAAGGTCCTCCTATTAGAATCCTAAGCAGAAAACAGGAATGTTAGTTATTTTCATAGCTAATAAAAGAGAAAGGGCTCTGAACACACCATTCATTTCAACGACCAGCAAGAACACTAAAGTACCTTTCAGTCTGCTTGGTTTATTAGCTATGAACCATACCTATGAAGTGATCATTTAAATCTATAGCTTAATTTTTTTTAAATTTAGAAACAGAGTTATTAGAAGTCTTTTCTTGGAATTGAGGCTTCAGTGAATTCAAGATGTAGAATTGTTACCTTTTCCTATTCCAGTAAATTCAAATGCTCATTTTCACTAAGGGCCTTGATGAAATGAAGATCACACTCCATAAAATAGAAAGTACATTTATTTATTTTAGCACTTCTCAACTCTAAACAGGCTGCTTCTTGTAACCTAGCCAGAAGTCAGAAAAGTAATTCAAGTTTTGACTTGGTCAGATGGTGAAGAGAGAACAAGTTAACTGTAATAATAACAATAATAGCAGCAACAACAACCACCCTAAGTGTATATTATCATTCTCCCCATTTTATAGATGAGAAAATTAAGTCATTGACAGAAGTTAAGTGGCTTGTCCAGAGTAGGAAAAAAACCTAGTAAATTCCCACCTGGTAGTACTACTTTGAGACTTCTCGTCCTTGTTCCAGGAAGCTCTTTATTGGGAAAACCTCGTCATCTTGCAAGATCCCATCAGTCTTGGTATACCACTTCAGTACTACCCCCTGTCTACCTGGTTGGAGTGTGGGGCCCTGAACTCCAAGCCCTCCATTTAAGGAGGGGGCTCAGCTCAGAACATCTCATTTCTCATCTGGCTGTAAAACTCTGGGACTTCTGACTTCTCTATCACACCCTTATGTTGAGTACCACTCTCCTCCCCACCCCACCCAATCCTCTTCCTTTTGTTTTCCTCAATTAGATTGTAAGCCCTTTGAGGGCAGAGACTGTCTTTCTATTTGCATGTTAGTGTTCCTGGCACTTAGCACAGTGCCTGCCGTACTAGACACTTAATAAATGTTTTTTGAATAAGTATCTGGGTCAATATTTGAACACAGGTCTTCCTGGCTGCAAATCCAGTGCTCCTTCCACTATGATATCTAACAGTAGATAGATAACCTGGGTCAGAGTTGGGGAACCTGGGTCATTAAAACTTCCTGGGTCAAATGAATTAAGAGTTCTGACCAATCCAGGGTAATTCTCCCAACTAGAATATAGATGGGTAAAAAACAAAAATAAAAATGCCTCTGACATATCTGAAAAGCTAAATAATAATGGGGAGCACCACAATTAGGTTGCTGAGGAGAAGGAGGGCAAGGTTCACCAGTTCTACCAGTTCTACCAGTTCTACCTAACCTCTTTCAGTCCAGTTCTTGTGTTGATTTGCATGGCAATGGAGGGAGGAGGATAGTGGTGGTGTTGGGGAGGGTGGATTATGGATGTCAAAAAGAGTCTCCTCACCCCAGTTCTACCCAGCTTCATTGCAGTTCTACTAAGCACAATTCTCAAGATGATTTGAAAGAGGTTCAGACTTAGGACCCAGGGATGTGAAAGACTCAGAAAAAAAAATCTGGACCCTAACTTAGTTAAAAGTTTGTCTTAAGGGAGTCAGAGGAACAGCAAGGGGAAAAATAACTTCAAAATATAGACAATCTAAACCTCCAAAAGTCTTTAGGCTCTTCTTGTATGTCTAAATGGATAAGGCTATGATGGACTCTGGGGTTATAGCTGAGAGATTTGAGAGAATTTGCTCACGAGTCAGAGAACTCAGGTTCAAGTCTTTCCACTGACTTACTGTGTGTGATCTTACATAAATCACTTTGCCTCCTTGGCCCTCAGTTTCCTCATCTGTAAAATGGATTCGATGGTGTTTGAGGTCTAGCTTTAGATCTATGGTTCTATGACTCTTCAAGGGAAATAATACATATTAACAGCTGTAATTCACTGAAAGATCATGGTAGCACAGTGCAGGCAAAGCAACCAAAGAAACCACACAGTAGCTAAAGATGAGTAGAAGTCAATAAAAGCTCAGTGGAGATGCCCAGCAGAGAGAACAGAGCAACAGAGATCCTGTTAAGATCCATTCAAACACATCAACATAGCTTGGACATTCATACAACTGAGTCCAAAACTCTCATGAAATACTTGTCTTGGCATTTTCAGGCTCCATCCTGAGGACCTTAACTCCACAGTTCTGAACTACATGGCAAACACCATGGAACCTGGTCTCTCAGAAATTATCAGTGTGCTGATAAACAATAAGCCATCTTCCATCATGGCATCCTACAGCTTGCTGCTGAAGAAACTAGTGAAGTCTCAAAAGGAGAATAAAAGCCTGAAGGTATGTATGAATTTTGAGCTGGACCTTAGAGATCATATATAGTCCAACTTTCTAATTTTAAAAATAAGGCCACGCTAGAGGAAGGGACTTGCTGAGGTAATACAGGTGTTCTAGGGCAGAGCTGGGGTTCAAACCCAAGCCTTCCCACTCCAAACCCACTAAACATTGTCATCCATCCTGTTAATGTAAGATTTTATACAAAGAAGATGCCTAATAAATGTTTGATAAGTACATGAATTACTAGAAAAATCTTTTGTGCTATGAAAGATGATACAAAGTCTATATTTAGAAAGCAAAATATTAAAATTTGACCCCTTTGCATCATCCATCTTCATCATTATTATCATCTATTTAATCTTAGCTCAGCTAAGAAAGCAACTTGCCTATTGATATCAGCACTAGTCTATCCCCAGTTCCCTACCTACGTGTGATCACCAGCCAACCGTGTTGCCTATGCGTATCTCCCTTCCTACTGTTGATTTGGTTTCAGTCCTGCCCAACTCTCCATGACCTTGTTTGGGGTTTTCTTGGCAAAGATACTGGAGTGGTTTGCCATTTCCTTCTCCAGTTCATTTTACAGATGAGGAAATGGAGACAGAAAGATTAAATGACTTACCCAGGGTTACACAGCTACTAAGTGCCTGAGGCTAGATTTGAACTCAGGAGGATGAGTCTTCCTGACTCCAGGCACAATACTCCATCCACCGCACCACCTAACTGTCCCATGGTAACCCATGAGAAACTGCATTCTTTTGTTTTGAGGGAGGGATCATTCTTGTTTCTAAACCTTGGCATGTCTGTATCCACACCTTCAAAGCCTTTTTATTTATAACTTAAGTACTAATCAAGGCTATGTGTAGCGCCAACTCCAGGGATCCTTTTCCTACCCCTCTCCCCCTTTTGTTTTGTGTAGAAAGAAAGAAGAAAGAAACATGGCCTTGGGAGGGTGCTGGTGCTGTCTGCTTTCCACAGAGTGCAGTAAGGGCTCTCACCTTGCTGAAATTTTCAGATTTGGGAGAAGTGTGACAATTTAGTGGAGGAAAATTTTTTGATAATTTTGGTTGTTTTTGCTTTGGATGATGTGCTTTAGAAAAAACAAAGAAGTGTGAGAGACAGAGAGAGAGAGAGAGAGTGAGAGTGAGAGTGTGTGTGTGTGTGTGTGAGTGTGTACAAATATGGATGAACAAACCCACATTTAGCTTGAACTTTATAAACTACAGCAGATTTATCATCCTACCCACTTAAAAAAATCAGATCTTCCTCCCCTACAGAGATTAAAGTGAGTAAAACAAATAAAATAAACATTCTTTTCTAGACATTTGGCACAAAGCAGGATCATTCTTTCCCTCTTCCATTTCAAAAATGAATAACTCAACTTAGGAATTTAATATAATTTTTAAAAAATCCAAAGTATCCACCCAAGCCAACAGGGACAAAGCCTGCAAAATCTCAGTTTGAAGGAGGGAACCCTCTTGCTGGAATGCAACTTTGGATAAAAGAATAAGCATTCTCTGGAGCACAAATCAGTCTTTGGACCAAATGATGGTTATCCCCCCCTTTTTTTCTGAGTAGATGAGAACTCTATTGCACATATGCCTTGGAAGTTAGATTGAAAACCCTTTGCTTGCCAAATTTCTGCCTTTTCCGAGGCAAGCTTTTAATGTTTGAGCTGTGGGGATCACCTTTATTAAGATGACTTGAAGAGGGAAGTTGGAAAATCTGTAAGAAGGCCTTTGGCATTACACAGAGTGGAGCCAATGGGATAGTTATTTTAGCACGATTACCTATATGAGTCATATGATTGTAGTTTTTGTGGTCTGGTGACAGGACCAGGGGTGTTGATCAGAGAATGTGAGTGGGCTGTTTCAGAATGGTCTGTGGTGTCTAGACAGAACTGGAAGATGCCTTCCTTACTGAATTCCCCTCGAGGAAAGGGCCTTGCTTGTGTGACCATGTTAGACACTGACAACATACCCTGGCAAGGTAGCTACCTAATCCAGGATCTCAGAAAGGAAACATCTCAACATTTGAGAAACAGAGTGAAAGAGTAGAGTCAGACATAACACCGGTATCTCAAATTGTTACTTTACTCCTATCTTGTCATTTAACTTTTTCTGGGTCTTAGGCTCTCCTCCCAACTAGATTGTGGGAAAGGACCACGTCTTATACTTCACTAAACAGTTCATAGTATTTTGAGCTGGACCTTAGAGATCATATATAGTCCAACTTTCTAATTTTAAAAATAAGGCCACGCTAGGGGAAGGGACTTGCTGAGGTAATACAGGTGTTCTAGGGCAGAGCTGGGGTTCAAACCCAAGCCTTCCCACTCCAAACCCACTAAACATTGTCATCCATCCTGTTAATGTAAGATTTTATACAAAGAAGATGCCTAATAAATGTTTGATAAGTACATGAATTACTAGAAAAATCTTTTGTGCTATGAAAGATGATACAAAGTCTATATTTAGAAAGCAAAATATTAAAATTTGACCCCTTTGCATCATCCATCTTCATCATTATTATCATCTATTTAAGCATTTAACAAGCTCCCATATTTATTTTGTGGGCATCATAACTATTCAATTCCAGGGAAGTGTTAAGAAAAGAATTTTTTTGGGGGGGCAATTGAGGTTAAATGACTTGGCCAGGGTCACACAGCTAGTAAGTGTCAAGTGTTTGGTCTGAGACCGGATTTGGACTCAGGTTCTCCTGATTTCAGGGCCGGTGCTCTATTCACTGGGCCACCTAGCTGCCCCAAGAAAAGAAATACTGACTGCATAGGTTTGCTCTCAGTGAAATTCATACATACCTTCAGGCTTTTATTCTCCTTTTGAGACTTCACTAGTTTCTTCAGCAGCAAGCTGTAGGATGCCATGATGGAAGATGGCTTATTGTTTATCAGCACACTGATAATTTCTGAGAGACCAGGTTCCATGGTGTTTGCCATGTAGTTCAGAACTGTGGAGTTAAGGTCCTCAGGATGGAGCCTGAAAATGCCAAGACAAGTATTTCATGAGAGTTTTGGACTCAGTTGTATGAATGTCCAAGCTATGTTGATGTGTTTGAATGGAACAGATACCATTATCTGGGAAAATTACTTTCATTAGACATATGAAAATCATACAAAAATGAGATGAAAGAATTACACTTGGGTAACATGGTCTGCCAATAGTCCTATCAATCTTATGGTAGAAGGTGGGCATTAAAACAATGGATCTTGTAAACAAAAGCATCCCCTTTTGAATGATCTCTGCTGCCTATGAATCAATTCTGCTGTGATTCAAAGGTATCACTAAACAGATTGAATGGATAGATGGGTAATCTTGGGGTCTGTGTAGTCACAATGGCAACAGAGGTATGAAAATCTTAAGGCTATCTATGTTTGGGTTAGTGATGAGGGAGAAATGTGATAAGTGATTTTTTTCAAGGAGAAAATCCTTACTTATTGAGAAGAAACAAAGAGTGGATATAAGTGGACTTTTCACTGGATGGAAAAGTATAAATAGTGGCTTCTTCCAGGGATAAGTACTAAGACTGACATCACTGGAAATTTTTTTAATGCATAACTTGGATGCAAAGTATACAGAAAAATTGCCTTTTGGGCAAGGGAATGTCATCATAACATGACAGTCATAACTTGCAGGAAGAACTTAGGAAGTTAAGATCATAGAAGAAAAGGGACTGCTATGCTTCAGCGTGGGCTGCTGTAAGACAATTAACATTAGTAAAAAAAGAATTCAAATGATCCTTATTAGCCTGATGAATGTGAAGTTAGAGAAAGGACTGAGCAATAATTATATAAAGTACTCCCTAAAGTCACTGGCTCAGTGACTGCTCTGACTGAAACTGCCTTCAAATAGAAATAAAATTGGTGACTGATTGGAAGTTGAACATCGAAATAAAACAGAAAGCATTACATGAGTTCCCTCTAAGTCAATAATGCAACTAACTGTGCTTGGATTCCTATACTGCAGTTCTGATTGCTGTACGTCAATGAAGATACATGGAACTAAAGAAGGTTCAGCATCTAAAATAGTGATGGGAACAGGGATCATGCTATAGGAGGAGAAAGGAAAAAAAAAGGAATAAGAATCTTCAGCCTGGAATGATGAAGATGTGATATAATCAAAGTACAAAATTATAAAGAGCCGTGGTTCTCCAAGTGTAGTCCATGGACCCCTGGGGGTCAGAAGGTCTGTGAGGTCAAAACTATTTTCATAATACTCCTAAGAGGTTATTTGCCTATTAAAATAGTCTTCCCTTTTCCAACTACATATCTGTGTGAGGTCAGATTTTCTTCATATGCTTAAACCAAAATAATATATTGCAACACATTGAATGCAGAAATGTATTTAAGCAGATTTATGATATATAACCTCATGTGGTCATTCACTGTTACTAGACTATCTTTCTGTCCTCATCGACTCCTTATCTCATTCTAAAACTTTTCTTCTCTTGTCTTCAATATTGGTCCTTAATCCCAAACCTCAATCAATCCATCCATCCATCCATCCATCCATCCATCCACAAGCATTTGTTAAGGGCCCACTATTGCAAGGTACTGTGCCAGCTGGAGATTCAAAGACAAAAATGAAGTAGTCCCTGCCACTGAGGGGCTTGCATTCTATCCAAGGAAACAATAAATACATGTATAAGTGTTTACAAGGCTAATAATAATATAATTTGGTGGGATGAGACCCTGGTATCCAGGGTAACAGGAAAAGCCTCATTTGGGAGATAAAACCCATATGGGCTGAATGTTGAATGAAACTAGGGAGCCTATGAGTTGGATATGAGAAGGGAGTGAATTCCAAGCATGAGGAATAGCCTGTATGCAAAGGCAAAGAAATGGGAGATAGGACATTGTATGTGAGGAACAGCAAGACGACCAGAATAGCTATACTGTAGAATATGTGAAGAGGAATAATAGGGGGAGAATGACAGAGGAAGCTTGGAAAGGTAAAGTAGAAGCAAAATACAATGGGCATGAAATTCCAAACAGAGGAGCTTATATTGGATATTACAAACAATAGCGAATTTGTTTGGAATTTGGAGATGGATATAAAATTTGAGTGTATTGAGCTGAGGAATGACGTTGTTATTTCATCAATATCTCTTTGACAGATATCTGGAGGATAGATAATTATAGCAGATGACTGAACATTCTACTTCTCTGAGAACATAGGGAAATCCCTTAGTCTTCTGCCTCAATTTCTTAAAAAGTTTTCTTCTCCTTCCTTTTAGTCATAGAAGGTATCTCTATACCTTTTTAAGACTCATTCCTTTGTCAATACTCATCATCCCATTCTCCTCTCATCTCATTCTGGGACATCATTTCCCTGTATTCCTCATGTATCTTTAATCTTTTCCTCAAATTCCATCAGTATACCAAAAAACTTCAATAGGTTGAAAACTGAGCTTTTTATCTTTCCTCCTAAACCTGAAACTCACATCTCCTTACAAATATTCTCAGGTTTCCCCAGTCCTAATAATTCTTCTCTCAACCCTTATCATTCTTCCAGCTATTGATCCTATACTTCATTGCCAAACTTATTGAAAGCATTTTCTACACTTGATGCTTCTCCCCCAGTCATTTATCAGTTATCAGCATATTATACTTGAAGATTTGAAGAGTAAAATTTAGGATAAATAAAAAGTATTACTTCACCTTTTGGGTAATACGCTTATGGAATCCATTACCTCAAAAACTGGTACAGATGGAACATATAAATAGCTTCAAAAATGGTTCAGATACATTCATGGATGACAGATCCTTAATGGGTTACTAAGGGAAATTAGAGTATTTGAGTGAATGGCCTTAACTGTTGAGGTTGATGTCAAGAAAGACAATCATGTCTTTCCTTAACATGTCCCTTGATGCCACTTTCAGAGACCAAATGTTGAGCTGGATAGTTTGACACAGAATGTTTCATATATTTTAAATGCACTAGGGGAGCTCTATACAAAAGAAAACTGTGGGAAATTATTGTGAGAATATGAAAAATCCTTTTATAAAATGGATAAATTCCAACCCACTCCTGATTTTTCTGTTCTGTAAGTTTTTATTTTGGCACGTATTTGGCATATTTTAAAATTATTACTTTCTTAGTGAAAACTAGGAATCTATACTAGGAATTTATAATTGAGACTCTATAGATAGCTATGGGGAACATACTAATAACACCTATCATTAAATATTACTATAAGGTTTACAACGTGCTTTACCTACAGTTTCCCATTTGATCCTCAGAACAATCTTGTGAGATAGGTGCTATTATTATGCAAATGAGGAGACTGAGACAGAAAAAAATCAAGCGACTTGCTCAAGGTCACACAATTACTAAGGATCTTGATCTCAGGTCTTCCTGACTCCAGGTCCAGTGCTCTACCCACTGGGCCACTTAGCTCCTTCTACCTACCCAACTTCCAAGTTTAACATCCATAGTTCTTTCTCTGGATGTGGATAGCATTTTCTATCATGAGACTTTTGGAAATGTCTTAGATCCTTGCATTGTTGAGAAGAGTTAAATTTATCAAAGTTAGTCATCACACAATGTGGCTGTTACTGTGTACCATGTTCTCCTGGTTCATTTCACTCAGCATCAGACCATGAAAGTCTTTCCAGGTTTTTCTGAAGTCAGCCTGTTCATCATTTCTTATAGCACAATAGTATTCCATTATATTCATATACCACAACTTGCTCAGCCATTCCCCAATTGATGGGCATCCTCTCAATTTTCAATTCTTTGTCACCACAAAATGAGGGCCCTTTTCCCATTTGTATGATCTCCTCAGGATACAGCCCTAGAAGTGGTATTGCTGGGTCAAATGGTATGCACATTGTTGTAGCACTTTGGGCATAGTTTCAAATTTAGAGCACCTTTTCTAGCCCCTTCCCCATACCAGGAGGTGAGCAGTGCAATCTTTAAAAGGTTGCTCAGACAGTCATGGGACTGCTGAATCCCACCGCTGCTTCCAGTGAGAAACGACCCTATGGCCTGGGCTACCAATGTGAGGATTGTAACTACAGCTCCCATTGTATCCGTACCTGCTGCTTTGTCACTTGCCTGTCACCATAGGACTTTAAGACATGTAAAATGGTAAAATGGTGTGGGTGATGTCCTTTGATTCATGCGTAAATTAGATTTAAGTGAGGCAGAGTTGCACGAAGTCATTGATGTCACTCTCTCCTCTAGAGTCATCACAGGCCAGTGACAGGACAGAAGATGCAGTGGATGTCCTTGGCGTCTTTGATGTCTAACCAAGCTCTAAGCGCTCCATGGCACCTGCTTCAGCTGCCTTCATGACCGTTGGAACAAATCGTTCTCACCCACCCATTCTACCAGGGGAAGTCTTCACATGCTTGGAGTAGACACCACCATAACTCACCAACAGGTTTGAGATCCCTTAGTTACCCTTGACCTGTTTTAGGCCATCTGTGAAATGATTTACCAGGGTATGGCTGTTGTGCATGCTAGAGCTTCTTGGAGCCACAGGTGAGAGTTGGGTGGAACAGATGGACACCAAAAGCAGAAAGTAGCCCTGAAAAGGACTTGGCAGCCTTCAGACACCAGAGGTACTAGTCTTCCCTGGATGCACCCTACACCCCAATCATAGTGATAATGTAGGGGCAGTGGAAGTAGCATTGAATCTGGAGTAAAAAGAATTGTGTTTGAATACTGATATTGCTGCTTTTTCCTCTGTGACCTTGAGCAAGTCACTTCATTAAACCTCAGTTTTCTCATTTGTAAGATGAGTGACTTGGAGTCATTTAATAAATGCTGGTTTAGTTTATCAATTGATAAACGTTTTTTAAGCATCTACTATGTCGCAGGCACTGTGCTAAGTGTTGGGGATACAAAAAAGGGTGAAAGATATTCTTTGCCTTCATGAAACTCACAATCTAATGTAATTGTTCACTGACTGACTTTTAAAAAGGACTAATGTCCTTGTAAAATATGGTGCCCATAAATGAATACAACAATACAGATATGATCTGACCAAGGTAGAGTACAGTAGGATTATCATCTAGTTTGATTTGTCTAAAGCTGGGGGATAGATGGATATAGATGGCATAATGGTTAGATTGCTGAGTTTGGAGTCAGGAAGACCTGAGTTCAAATCCTGACTTAGACAGCATTTAACCTTCCTGGGCCTCATCTATAAAATGAAGGAGTTGGACTTAATGACATCCAAGATCTTCTAGATCTAAATATATGATCCATGGGCCCGTTTCCTTTTTTGGAAAATGGGGTAGAGGGGTTTAAATAAGATGACCTCTACAGTTTCTTCCAATTCTAAAGCTATCAGCCAAACCTCATAAGGTCCCTTCTTGCCTGGTGGCACTCCTCTGCCACTTGTTCGTCTTCATACATTCGTATCTTTATAAGGAACCTTTCTAATGACGAATTACGTTTTATGTGGGGGAATTGCTGGAACCAAAAAGGCACAGCAGACTACTCTCATGACTGAGCTCATTTTCATGTTTGTGCAGCCACCGATTCATTCAGATCTCATAGCAGCTTAACGTATAAGAGAAGTTCCCAACTTAAAAAAAAAATGAGTTGTTAGAAAAGTTCATTTGTAATTTGGTTGTTTGGAAATTGGAACACAGAGATTCACAGAAGTGATATAATGAATGAAATTTAGATCCCTAAGCTACCTACAAAAGCTTATTTAACTTCAGTATAGCTGAATTTGGCACCAGAGGTATTAGGGTGGATAGAGGAGACAAAACCTTGAGTTAAAGGTGGCAGGTATTTTAAGTCCATATGTTCTTCTTGGTTGGCCCCCACATCTTTAAATCACGCCAATTCAGTGTTTCCCCCAAGAGAGAACTGAAAAAAAAAAACTCAATAGAAGGATATTGGCATTATTTTTTCTGGTTGATTATGCCCAGGAAGGCAATTTTGTGAGTTTTAGAATAAAAAAAAAAACTAGAACCAGAAAAGTTTTGCTCCTTCCTACTTCATATCTAGTAGTATGCTGATAAATGTTTAGCAATCAGTAATCTGAAAAAAAAGTATAATTGACACTTTTAAGTTTACTTCACATTATGAAAATTTCCCCATTACTTTTTTAAGTCTAGACAATTAACCAAACAATAAATCAAACTCTGATTTACAAATCGGTGCTTGCTGATTTCCAAGGTTTAGATACTCACACTAAAAATTTAAGAATCAGCTCTCTTAAGCTGGTTTGAGCTGGCTCCAGTCTACCCTTACCATATTAGAAGTCCAACTATTCTTATGCATTTTTTGGGGGGGAATCAATGATTTAATAGATTGAAGAAATGCTGAAGATGAAGCCTCCCTGGGGCAGGGGGATAGGTATCATCATATTCTAGATTGGATTATTGAAATTTTCAATGAGGAACTGGGTTCAACTTCTCCTTCTAATTTATTAGTTGTATGACCATGAGCAAGTCATTTAAACTCTCTGACCCTCAGTTTCTTCATTTGGAAATCAAGAATTATAATCTCAATAGCACCTATCTCACAAAGTTGTTCTGAGGATCAAAGGAGATAACATTGGTAAAGCATTTTCTTTTTCTTTCTTTCTTTTTTTTTTTGTGAGGCAATTGGGGTTAAGTGACTTGCCCAGAGTCACACAGGTAATGAATTTTATGTGTCTGAGGTCAGATTTGAACTCAGGTCCTCCTGACTGCAGAACTGGTGATCTATCCACTGCACCACCTAGCTGCCCCTAAAGCATTTTCTAAACCTTGAAGTGTTAGCTATTATTATGATGGCTGGTTTATGCTTTTCTCAATTTGTCAGGATTATAGGTTCAGATGGGAAGAACTCTATTATTTTTTTTCTTCTATAAATTAAAAAAAAATCTGTTGAACCCCCTCAATCTTTAGAGCATAGATTCAAAGCTGGAAAGAATCTTTCAGGTCATCTAGCCCAACCCTTGCATTTTGGAGGTTAGGAATGTGAAACTCAGAGAGTCTTGGTTACTTATCCCTCAGTCACATAAGCAGTAAGTGGCAAAGCCTTCCAGTGTTTGATGGCCCCATGATGTAAGCAAATTCAGGAAATTCATCCATCCATTTCAACATCTTTTCTGGGCTTCCAGATCAAGTCTGGAATGCATCCTGGTTTCAGAGAGGTGGCCACGGAATTTTATTAAGTGTTGATATACCAGGATTGACGAAGGCACATCCCAGTGGTACGGAGACCTTAAAAGGAAACGGGGCATACAACAGAGTTAATAAGGAATGGGAGAGGTGTGAGAAATTAATTACCTGTTCTTATATGTAATAGAACTTAGTGGTTTCCTGTTCCATCCTTCATTCAGCCATTTGTCTTTCATTGCTTCTCTAATGGCAGGCCGCTTGGCTGGGTCAGGCTCCAGTAAGGAGTGCATGAAATGCACAGCTCCTGGAATGCAATTCAGATGAAGTGTTTGGGGATGAAAACCCCCCACAGTTTGGGGGTATTAACCCAGTGAACCACAGACTCTCTTGTTGGCAAAATTCTTCTGTGTAAACAAGTAATGATCTGACCATAAGCTAGTTTCCTCAGTTTGACTACCAAAGTCAGTGGCTTCAATGGCAACTAGGCATCTCAAGTGATGCTTTAGGAGCTTTAAAACGTCCAGATGTCTTTTACAAAATATATTTTGTGGCTAAATTTGGGTGTGTGTGGCTGGGGGTGAGGTGGTTAAAGGAGAGATTGAATATGTTCAATTGATTTATTATAAAAATCTGGCATTGTGAACAATCCCTAAAAGGTGTAGAAGAGTATTTATTCAACTGCTAACATTTCTTCCTCCCCTAATCTCATTATCTCTTCTCACCTCTTGGGATCCCTAACTCCCTTCAAAGCTCAGCTCAGACCACCTCCTACACAAGCAGGGCCTTTCTGACAGCCTCAGTTGTTAGCACTTCCCCCACCCCCAATTACTTTTTATCTATTTATCTCTATGCATGTTGTTTTCCTCCAGCAGATAGTAAGTTCTTTGAGGGCAGGGGCTGCCCTCCTACTTAGTTTTTGTCTCTTTGTACTCAATACCTAACATACATTAAATGGTTAGCAAATTCTTGTTAAAGGGAATTATTCTTGCTGGTGTTTCCCACACATCTTGCCCATAAGAGGCCATCAAAAATGTTTCTTAAATTGAGAATACTATAATAGAAAGCAGGAATTATATACTTTCTCCTTCCAGTTAATTTTATGAGAACTGAAGACAGAGAAGTCCCCAAAGCACCTCAAAATTTTGAGCCCCTGATATATGGTTATCCCTCTCCCCTGGCAACAAAAGCCAATGATCTGTAGCATGATGCTATATTCCCAAATAGCATCCATAGATTGAGCCTTAATTTACAAACCAATAAATCCCAATGAGTTGATTACCAGAAGAGATGTCATCTGGAACAGAGCTGATTTCCCCATTCACCATCTTCTGATGAAGCTGCTTGATGTTGAATGGTTCCACAGTAAATGGCAATGTGCCCGTGAGCATAGCAAACATACTAACCCCTCTGTCAAGAGAATTACCATCAAAGCTGAAAAGTTTAGAAATCAATCTTTAAAAAAATGCTTCTAATAAGAGAGAATTTATGGGCTTTTAATTGTCACATGTTAAGTACTTTTCTAGAAGGCTGATTCAGCCTATTTCAGAATGAAAAGAAGGATGGGACAAAGGATAAATTTCTTCAGGAGCCTCATGGAACCTATGAAGGTTCCTCAGGACTGTAACATGTTGGTGTTCTCTGACTCTTCCCTTATGTCCCTTTATAGGAGGGCATGAGGTATACAACTTTGAAAAAAATAATAAAAACATCCTGGAGGCAAATTTGAATGTTGATCACAAATTCCAAATGGATTTGGTTCTATTTACTTATAAATTTATGTTGTCTTCATGTATTTTGAAACTCATTGGTTCTAACCAGGGTGGGAAGTGTTGGAGTCCCAAGATAATCATGAAAAGAAGAGTTCTCCAAGGCCATAAATATGCTTTCATTGTGGTATGTAGGCTGTTAGGAAGACTTGGAAAGGCATTTTAGCATATTTCTGGGCTCCCAGCCCACCTTTTCACTATGGCCAACCTCCTGCCCCAAAAAGTGCATTAAATATTTCATCATAGGATGATATAGCAGGATATATAGGATAGTATCATGGGATAGTAGATATAAGGCTGACTTGGCGTCAGGGAGACCTGGGTTTGAATCCCATGTCTGATATTTACAAATTATGTGATTTTGGCCAAGATATTCATCCTTTCTCAACTTCAGTTTCTTCATCTGTTAAATGGAGATAATAAATTAAGAATTAAATGGGGATTAAATAAAGTAAGGATTAAATAAGATAATGTATTTAAAAGACTATATAGATGCCAGGTATCATCATCATCAGGGCAACTAAGTGGCATAGTGGAGAGAACATTGGGCTTGGAATCTGGAAGACTCATCTTCATGAGTTCAAATCTAGCCTCAGACACTTAGTAACTGTGTGACCCTGGGCAAGTCACTTAACCCAGTTTGCCTCTGTATCCTCATCTGTAAAGTGAGCTAGAGAAGGAAATGTCAAATCACTTCAGTATCTTTGCTAAGAAAACCTCAAAATGGAGTCACAGAGAGTTGGATATGACTGAATAACAACTATTATTGTTATTATCATTATCATCATCATGGGGGCAGCTAGGTGGCATAGTGGATAGAGCACTGGGCTTGGAATCAGGATGACTCATCTTCACGAGTTCAAATCCAGTTTCAGACACTAGCTGTGTGACCCTGGGCAAGTTACTTAACTCTGTTTGCCTCAGTTTCCTCATCTATAAAATGAGCTGGGGAAGGAAATGGCAAACCACTTTAGTATCTTTACCAAGAAAACTCTAAAATGGGGTCACAAGGGGCAGTTAGGTGGCACAGTGGATAGAGCACTGGCCCTGGATTCAGGAGGACCTGAGTTCAAATCTGCCTCAGACACATAACACTTACTATCTGTGTGACCCTGGGCAAGTCACTTACCCCCATTGCCTAACCAAAATAAAAAATAAAATAAAAGACATAAAATGGGGTCACGGAGAGTTGGACACAACTGACCAACAGCTATTATTATTATCAAATAATGTCCAATTTAAGTTTTTTCAACCACTTAACTAAAGGTAGAATTTTCAGATCCAGTATCAATCTCTGTTAGAATCTTAGATTTCCACTGACATACTTTTGCTGATACAAGAAACCGGTATTAAGTGATACCTAAGTTTGTATATAAATTATTTGCTTTGATTCCAGAATCTTGCTTTGCATTGTTTTTTCCCCATATACTTAGAATGGTCTTTCTAATGAGCATTGTCTAGGAAGATATATGTGGTACATATGTGTGTGTCCAATCTATCAATCAATCAATCAACATCTCTTAAGCATCTATGTGCCAGGCACTGGGCCAAGTGCTGTCCAGATTTGGATCTCTTGGTCTCCTTGACCAGGTGGGACTCATTGTTCTTTGCTTCTCTAGAAAAGCAGCTCTTTCTGGAGATTCCAATGGGACTTGCAGGCTGACAGTCTCTGTTAAATTTATGTCCTATTTCCTTGCTCCCACCCACACCTAGAGGTCTACAACTGCTAGGGAGAAATACCTTTCCAGCAAGTAACCTGATTTGAAGCTCCCTTTGCATGTCAAAGAAATATTGTTTTCCCTAGTTACATGTATAAAGAGACAGAAGCAGCTTTTCAAAATTTGAGATCAAGGTTAGAAGGAAGAAGCAGAGGGGATAGAAGATTGATTTAGTGGTTGGTAGCCTGTCAGAAACAGGACACCAAGTTGCTGAGCCGTGTTCTTATTACCAAGAAGCAAGAGAGAGATGTGCTTTATAGGAGAAGGGCACATGGAAAGGCCCCTCTACTTAAAAATAATCAATATACATTTTACCAACTGGAAATTAATTTGGATTAACAGATTTTTCTTTTACAGTGCAAATGTTCACTAGGAAGGTGAAAACCTATCATTCATGTGCTCAGTTTGTCTTCCTTAAATCAATCAATTTCATAAAGGATTAAGAACTTTTTTTGGTGGATTAAAAACATTTTTTTTTGGTTGGGAGGGGAAAGGAGAATAGGGATATTGGAAAAGGGAAAGATAATTTAGAAGTAGAGAACTTGAGTGCCTTGAGATGGGCAGGGATTTGTGCTATTCAACTTGGCCTTGCTCTGGTCAGCATTTTCATCAATGCCTTAATTATCTTCGTTGTGAAGAGCAATGTGGTATAGTAGCTTTGGAGTCAGAGGACACAGGTTCAAATTTTTTCTCTGGCATGTGACTCTGGGCTGCAGTTTCTTAATCCGTAAAATGATGATCTTTCATTAGATAGCCTTTAAGTTCCTTTTCAGCTCTAAATATATGATTTTATGATTCCATGAAGACATAGATGAGATGCTTACCAAATTTGTAAATGACATGAAACTGGAAGTTGTAGCCAACACATTGGGTAATAGAAATAGGATGATAGGCTGAATTTAATATGTTAAAAATTAATAAGGATAAAGTTCTGGAGTAGTTGATAGAAGGCTGATCTTGGAGTCAGGAAGATGGACTCAAACTGTGCCTCTGACATATACTACCTGTGTGATCATAGGCTAGTCACAATTTCTCAGGGTCCTGGGTGATTTTCTGGGATTCTAAACTACATATATGCGCCAATAGAGAGAGTTTCACACAAGGAGTTGAGGCAGGTAAGTAGTAGAGCAGATAAAGTATTCTACTTGGAGTCAGAAAGCACTGAATCAAGCCTCAGATACTTAGTAGCTGTGACACTTGACAAATCACTTAACTTCTGTTTGTCTCAGTTTCCTCAACTCTAAAATGAGGATAATAATAGAACTTACCTCCCAGGGTTTTTGTAGAGATCAAATGAGAGATTATTTATAAGGCACTTAGAGCAGTACCTGGCACATAATAGAATGATTAATAAATGCTTGTTTCCACATTTCCTTTCTAGGAGTTTTTTATGTTAATGAAATTATAGGTCTGGTACCCTGCCTTCACCCCCCAAAAAAGTAAAATCCTACATTTAGGTTAAACAAAATCAACTATGCAAGTAAGTATAGATCTAGGCATTTTAGCAGACTGAAGGTTCAAAATGTGACATAGTACACTGTTAGAATGTTAAGCTGCATTGAAAACAATGGCCTCCAGAATGAGAGAATGGGTAGTCCCATTATGTTGGGCTCTGCTCAGACCACATCTGGAGTGTCGTGCTCAGTTCTGGGCCTCACATTTTAGGGAGGCCAGAGGCAGGCTGGAGTAAGTTCAGAAAAGGGTGATCAGGACATTGGGGGAGGTAGGGAGAGCAGGCTGGAGACCATGCTATACAAAGGTTTGTGGAAGGAATGAAGGATGATTGCTGTTATGCAGAAGAGGGGCTAGACTTTTCTGCTTTCTCCAAAGAATATAATTAGGGCCAATGGGTACAAAATTACAATGAGGCAGATTTTAGGTTTGATGTAAGGAAAAATTTCTTAACAGTTAGAGCTGTCCAAATGTGGAACGGATTAGTTTGGGAGGTAGGATGCTTCCCTTTCCTGGGGCTTTTAAGCTGGTGTCAGGTGACTTTATTGGGTATTTCAATTAAAGTACAGGCTGAACTAGGTAATCTCTCGAGGCCTCTTCCATCCCTCTGATTCTGTGACAGAGTGTCAGGGGAGAGGGGTGATAAAGAGAGATGGGAGGGTACCCAAGACAAACTTTGTCTACTTTACATATTTTCCTGGAGTCAGACTGAAAATCATTTCCAGTTCTTCCCCTGGCTCTAGGGCCACAGCTTGGTGATATTGGGTGATTGATTATATCATGCAACTAAAGGCTATTTCAATGAGAAGCAGAAAGAACTATTAGGGAAGAGAGTGATATAAGGTCATTCCTGTAAAAACAAATTCAATTCCAAAATACTGTAATACACCAATTATCACCTGTTGAAAGTAAGGGTGGATACTCATGATCTGCATATGACTTTGTTTATAGGCTTTAAAGTGTCAAGGCCAAAATGAAAACATATTTGTGTCCCTGTAGAAATGATTCTTTCAGCATGCATTTTGAAATTTCCACTCACCCAACCATGGTTGGGAGCAGAAAATTTAGAAATGCATGAAAACGAGGAAACTTACAAGAAAGTAGAACACAATCCATTTGGAATTTGTGACTAACGTGCACATTTTCCTCAGAGACATGTTCATCACCTTTTGGTGGCAAATCTTGCTCCTTGTAAAGGAATATGGGGAAAGAGCCAAGAGACCACCAAGAGTAAGAGCAGGTCAGACGAGCTCAGGCTGGAAGTCAATGGCTTTCACACTTGCTATCAACCAGAATTTAATTCACTATCAACCAGGGCTTCCTCTGAATCCGGCACCTCTAAGCCAAAAGACTCTTGATCCCATTACTAATCCTCTAAGCCACTTAAGCACCCAGATTCAAATATTTTTCAGCTGTTTTCCAGTGAGGTGTGCCAAAATGCTGGTTTAGAGGTGGGGAGTAGAGGGTGTTAATATTCTAGGGAAGCTCATGTGGACTGAACGTGAGATTATGTTTTTAGGGTGATGCTGTGGGCTGAGTAGAGGAGAAAAGCAAGCAGGCTGAGAGGGAAATCCCTGAACACTGCGTAATGGCTGCACAAACCTTCTTGGGGATCACAAAGATCATATGATATTAAAACAAAATAACAATTTCAGTGGCCGGACTGTTGTCATGGCCACCATGTTGCTGTCTGCAGTATGTATGGACAACATCTATGATAGCTAGAATAGGAAATCTCTTTCCTGTTTCTCATGAATCTTACTAGAACATCGGGTTCTCTAGAAAAAGACCAAACCACAAGAAGGTATCCCAGTAAACTCATATGGTGCTGTGGTTCAAAAGGTGACACACAAAACATATGTAGTTGAACAAGTGTGAGTCTACTATTTAATTGTGGCTGGAGCCTGATGATATGTTAAGCTTGAAAATTTATTGGCTGTAACAGAATGGAACTCTTCCATCCCACTGAAATCTCTGGCAGCCTTTGGATATAGCATCTGGCTTATTAATTTGGCCAGTGGATGAAAGTTAATCATGTTTCAGTCCTTCCAAGGATCTAAAAATTGGATACACAAAAATCATGGACAGGCACACTGAGCGCTGGTGTTTCCTCCATGGATTCCTAATTGTGTTACTGCAGATTTTGATTGGAATGTGTTGAATGGGATGGCAGACTGACAATAGGCTTCTTGTTTTTCCAGTGAGAATTTCTATGCTTTAATTATGATCATCTTTTTTGAGAGCAATAGTTTAATCAAAGGCCAGACAATTGAGAGAATCAGCTCACTTCTTGTGGCTTTATTTTTATGACAGAATTTGAATTAAAACGAACATTAAAGGGGGGGGGAAGGTGATGGGAAGTAGTCAAAATGGAGCTGATGAAAATTGGGGATGGGGGGGCTAAAGTGAATCTTTTGAAGAAATCCCTAATTCTGGGATCAAATACAATTTTAGATCTGGGTAGGATATCAAAGTGAATGGTGGAAGATGGCTTAGGAAAAATGCTGGCTCTAGAGGAAAAGAGAAAATTTAGACTCTCCCTTTTGCCCTCTTCAGTCTTTCTGTTTCTTTTTTATGTCTCTTTTTCTCCCTCCCCCATCCCAATTTCTTTCTCTCTTCATCTCTCCATTTCTTTTCATAGTTGTTTCACTGCCAGGTTTTCTCTCTTTCCATTTTCCCATTTCTTTCTCTACCTTAACCTTCTTCCCTTCTCCGTTTCCAAGGCTATCTTGCTTCTTTTCACTTTCTTTAATACAGTATTAAAACACCACTTTAGACTATTTCCTTGGTACTTTAAAACCTCTTTACTTCATTCATTCAGAGTTTGTGTTAAGTTCAGACCCAAGAGGCTGAGGTCTGCCTCTGTAATATTTCTTAAAAAAAAAAGTTCAGTAAACAAACACATTTTTCAAATGTAATTGACAGATTAGATTGTAAGTTCTTTGAGGACAGGACTATCTTTTGTATCTTTGTATCCCTCATGCTTAGCACAGTGCATGGCACATAGTAGGTGCTTAATAAATGTATGCTGATTGATTGATTTGAGAGACTATTAAAATGAAACTGTTTTTATGGATTTTGATACATCAATTATATGTACATTTATTATATAGTGCTAATTATAAAATAATTATTTATTAAATAGACTCTTGCTGATCTTTACTTGGAACCACTCTGGCAGGCTTTGCAAATAGCATCTGACTTATTAATTTGACCAGTTAACTTTGTTAACAATTCTTTGGTGCAGGTCATACTTATATTACTTTGGGCTCCATGGGCAGAGTGCTCTTATTAAACTCAATGGTAGAGCTACAACCAAGCTGTGTAGTGATGAAGAATGGGGATAGAAAGAGAGACTGGATTTGTGATTTCAATAATCTAGGGAACAGGGGCAGCTAGGTGGCACAGTGAATAGAGCACTGGCTTTGGAGTCAGAAGGACCTGAGTTCAAATCTGGCCTCAGACATGTAACAGTCACTGGCTGTGTGACTCTGGGCAAGTCACTTAACCCCAATTGCCTCACCAAAAAAAAAAAAAATCTAGGAACACAACGGCGAAGAAATTCTCTACCAGTGGAGCTTGGTACCTTCTTTGCAAGTTGAAATATTAGAGAGCTGCCTCAGTGACTTGCCCAGGGTCACACAGACCACTATGTGTCTGAAGCATGAACTTTGAACCCAGGACTTCTGACTCTGAAACCAGTTCTACTAATCCTATACTGCCACTGGCTAATTCAAAATCACAGATAATCCAAATGGATCACTTAAATAACTTTACTTTATTTTCCCACCATATATGTTACCAGGGACATGAGCAGCTAGAGAAATTCATAGATTTGGATTTTACTTTTCTTTCTTCTCTGATGCTATACTGACAGGAGAGCAGGTACGCTTTTTAATATTTTCATTTGAGATATATAGGGTTAGTTTAACATTCTCGGTTTATTTCGCATCCTTGGCTTTATTTTTATTTTGAAGAATGGGGATAGAAATGGGGATTGCTTTGAGCCTCATGGCTAAACTCAAAAGAGTTTTTCTATTCTTCATGAAACTCAGTACTAATTTTCTTTTTTTTTTTAAATTAAATTAAAAAAGTGCAGGTCCACCCCCCTTTCTCTTTCCTCCCTCTCTGTATCTCTTTCTCCCTTCCCTTTCTTCTCTCTCTCTTTGTCTCTGTTGCTCTCTCTTTCCCTCCTGTCTCTCCCCTCTCTGTCTTCTCTCTGTCTCTGTCTCCCAATTCTATCTGTCTCTTCTGTCTCCCACATCTGTTTCTCACCCCCTCCCTCTTCCCCCTTCTTCTTCTGTCTGTCTCCCCCTCTTCTCACTTCCTTCCCTCTCTCCCATCCATTCCCCGCTGCCATTGAGAAGAAATACAAAATCCTCTGTTAAAAACATATAGTCAAGCAAAATCAGTTCCTGAAATGGCCATGTTAAAAAAATATGTATCTCTACTGGTTCTCTAAGTCTAGGAAGTTGGTAGTCTATTTCATCATCAGGACTACTTTTCTAAATAAAAATAAATCTCGAAATTTCAAAGTTGGAAGGGACCTCAGTGGCAGCCTAATCCAATCTATAATGCAATAGGATTCCGTACTACATCATTCTCTACCTCTCCAGTCAGCCCATTACACTTTGGGACCAATCTGATCATTAGGAAATTTTTCCTGATATCAAACCCAAATTTGCCTCTTTGCAACTTCAAACTTTTGCTCAAAGACTAGCTTCTACTTGATGCTTTTCCTGATCCCCCAGCTACAAATGCCCTCCACTTGTTGCCTTGTAGTTAACCACCTTACATTTATTTTGTATTTATTCTGTACATATTTATTTTAAAAAATTGTAGGCACTGGATATGACAAGCACCAAAAGAAATTATTTTTCATCTTTGATTCCCCAGTACCTCAACACAGTGCCTATGAGGGTAACAGATGCTTGGTGATTGATTTTACTCTTTTTCACCTGGTTTTACCTTCTGGCACCAAATAGAATAAGTGTAACCTGGCTTCCATATGATAGCCCTTCAAATACTTGGAGGCAGCTGTTATGTCTCCTACACATTTTCTTTTCTCTTCTCTAAGATTTGCAGTTCAGTCATTTCAGTCGCGTCTGACTCTTGTGATCCCACTTGGGGTTTTTGGCAAAGATATTGTAGTGGTTTGCCATTTCCTTCTTTAACTCATTTTACAGATGGAGAAACTGAGGCAAACAGGGTTAAAAGACTTGACGAGAGCCACACGGCTAATAAGTGTCTGAGGCTGGATTTGAACTCAAGAAGATGAGTCTTCCTGACTTCAGGCCTGCCACACTATCTGCTGCACCACCTACCTTCTCCTTCTCCAAGATAAGCATGCCCAGTTCTTTCAACTGATCTTTAGTTGGCATGAATTAGAGGCTCTTCACCACCCTGACTTCCCATATCAATGGCCTTCCTAAAATGTGGTGCCCAGAACAGAAAATAAAATACTTTTTATGAATGTGCAACTCAGTCACTTGGGTGGAATTTTGCTCTTGGTTATGGAAGTGTGTGTGTGTGTGTGTGTGTGTGTGTGTGTGTGTGTGTGTGTGTGTGTGTGTGTGT